TGTGAAAAAAGTTTTAACTTAAATTTTAAAGAAAAAAGGTTTTAATTTTAATGAAAAGATTTTAAGAAAAATATTTTAATTCTTCTTAAAAAAAAGTTTTTAGTTTTATTTTTAAAAACAAAATTTTTAATTAATCTCACAAAACGTTTTAATAATACTTGTAGAAACAATGTTAATTTATTTAAAAACTTATATTAGTTTTAAAATTGATTTAAAAGAACAGCAGTCCCCCCAAATTAACCCAGAAAATTGAGTAGAAACTAAAACAAGGTAAACAACACATATCAGAGGTAAATGGGGTCGGGCTGGCAACCAAGCCCAGACCCGACCCGGTTTAAATAACAAAATGGGGATGGAAGCAATCTTAGGGTTTGAGATCCCCATTTGTCTCGCGGCGGCACTTTATCGCCTTCACCTCTCATCTCGTCTTTCTCTCATCTGTTATGGCTTCTGTTTCCTTTCTTCTCTTTTTAGCATGTATCTCTTTCACGAATCCTGAAAAAGAATAACAACAAAGTTATGAGGAAAATCACAGTGGCTTACGGTTTGACGTTCTTGATGAGTTAATGGCCGATGATGAAACTATTCTGAGGCTAGAGCTGTTGATTGCCCGGGTCCGTTGAAGATTCTCGCTGAGAATCTCCGGATTTTGGTGTGGTTACCGGCCACGTTGGTGGCTTTTCGTGTTACAACTTTTTGCTTGGTGACGGTGTCGTTGGGTTTTTCCTTGGTGAGAATGTTCCACGTTTTTCTGTTACTCGGATGATGATGAAAGCTGTGAGCTTCTGAATCCGACTTTTCATTGCGCCGCCGCCGTTCTGTCCTTCTGAACCTAGGGTTTTCTTTCTCGAACCCTATCTAATTTATATGCTCGAATCTGTGTTTGTTGGGCCTGTATATCTCTAACTCTTGATGAGATTATCATGCGGATTTTGCAGTTTTTTCAGAATTGATTCCTAGTGAACTTTGAATGAACCTCTGTTATGTGTTGTTGCTGGGCTTTTGAATCCGGCCTTTATGTTTATTGGTTTGTTTTGATGCTTAGGTTTTGGATTTTGTTATGTTATTTGATATAACTGGATTTGATCATTTATCTGCTGGATATGGGTTTTGCAGATGTGGTTCGGATTCTTGCTATCAGATGCTGGATTTTCAGTTTCTTCATGAACTGGTTTTGTTTTATCTGGTTGTCTAAACTGAACTGGTTTTTCAGATTTTTTTGGTCTGAACTATTTATCAGTTGATGGATTTTCGGTTCCGTTTGAGCAGGTTGGGTTTTTACAGACATATGACTCGGTTTTGGTTGGATATCCGTATTCGGTTGCGGATTTGGATTTCTGCGATATTTACTTGATAGAGAAACAACTTGGATATCCGTTATTTACTTGATGAAATGATATTAGGATTACGATCAGTTTGGCTTAAAATCCAATTTCGGCAAATAATCACTTTTCGGCAAAATCACTTCGACCCACACTTCTTTTTACTCTCTTTCTCGGCTGTCCCAAAAAATAAGAACGAATATTATCGGTCTGGTGCCGATGTCGAGTTTGGAAATGGGAGTTCGGCTGCGGCATCTGTCGTACCCTCCCGACACCCAATGATGACTTTTCTGAGGGTGTCAACATACTTTCTGACATTCTTACTCTGCTTTTCTGTTTTGGTTTGTATGTGTGTTTCATGTGCAGATATGAAGAAATAAGTCTTGGAGAAACTAGTCAGAAAAAGTCGGCGTGAAGATTCAGACATGAAAATAATAGGACTTTTTAGGAAAATTAGAACTTAGGATAAAATGTATATGTTTTCATTTTCCCTTTCATAAAATGTAATAAAAATATTAATGAATAAATTCAATTATATTTCTATCCAATCTATCCGAAGTTTTTTCCTTACAATTCATACCTTTCGTAACCGAATGACCCCAAAAAGAACACATCCGATCAAATCCAACTTTGTCAAGTGTCTCCGAGTAAATTCGTATAAATCACATATAAATCACTTAACTTGAACCATCAGATTGATCTTCACCAAACAAACTCGCATGAATAAATTCTGAGAAAAAAATCAAACGCATTAACTTTATCGTTCCAACTTATACCGATCCACTTAAAACACGATATAATCTTCCATTCTTAAATCAGTTTAAATTGGTGTGTGATGATAGAATCGATGCTAGTCATGAACGGGGTAAAATAGAGCAGAAACAGAGAAATCTGATTAGCAGTGAAAACAGAAAACTAAACTCTGTCATTAAAAATCCAATTGGCGCCGCTGATAAACTATCGAACCATAAACTAACTCGGCCCATAAACCTCGATCCAACATAAATCAAAAACCCGAATTTGAATCAGACTTTTTACTGTTTCTTTTTCTTTTGAAGCTTTTTACTAGCAGAAAGCAGAGGAAGCAGAAAAGCATGCGCCTGTGAAATAACTCATAGAATAAATGCTTGTACCAATTTAAGTGAAAAAAAGTTGATGTCTCAACATAATCAAACCCACATGACAAAGCAACAACCCTAAAAGCAACTGACAACAGAACCTCGGCTCCTGAATAAATTACCGTATCCCGAAAATTCTGATGCCAAAATTCACTATAAATTTATGTTTATCCTCACAATAAAGAATTCAAAGACGAAGACTTTAATTATTCCGAAGAACCCGGGCAAGAACTCATCCTCCACAACTGTCAGTAAATACTGCGCAAATTACCGTTTTGCCCTTTTCACAGTTAAATTGCACCCAATGCCATTCCTGCAAAATAAACAGACTACGTAACCTGTTAGTAGTTAGCGGATGCGAAAATGAGATGCTATGCGACATGAATCGACTAATCTGAGGGTAAAATTTGGGGTATTACAATTATATTTGTTTAAATTTTTTATTTTATTTTTCATATTTTAATGTTAATTTTAGTTATCGTAATGTTTTTGTTTATAATAATAGGGAGACCAAAACTATAATTTAGCCAATTATATATTATAATCGTTGCATTTTTATAAAATATTTCATGATGATCTCTGATTGAATATTTATATTTCGTCAATGAATTTGTGTTTGAATTATAAATAGTAAATATCACGACTCTTATGGTAATATTAGAAGGATAAAAAAGTAAATTAGTTTTAAAATGCCTCCCTTTCCCTTGTGAACCAAACATATTTGTAAATAAAATGTCTCCCATCCCCTCCCCTTTCATATTTTGAACCAAATATATATATAATCAAAATCCCCCTCTCCCTTCCCATCCCCTTCCCTCCTCTTGATAAAAATCCATCCCCTCCCCTCGATTGAACCAAACAAAACCTTAGTAAAAAATAATGGAGAATCTTGATTGTGTGAAATTGAGAGAATAAAATTTTTGGTTTAGATGAAATTTTTTGTTTAGAGTATGGAATTGGAGAACGCCTCTAAATATGTGTTATAGCACAAGACTATTCACTAAAAGAAAACCTGAATAAGTGATTTAGTGACGTGGTAAACACGTGGGAAAAAACAGAGGTTGTGATGTGTAAACCACATCACTACATTATTTAATTAATAATCCCCTCAAATTTAAAATCTGTAACGTTGAGTGTTGTTTTTCTGGGGGAGAGAAATTTGAATTATTCAGAAATTTAGTTGTGGCGTGGTAACCACATGGGAAACAAAAATTCAAAAGTACCCACATGGTACCCACATGGTACCCACGTCACAAACGGGAAAATATTAAAGTTGGTCTGCATTTACTTTTATAGTTGGGACACATTAAAGATTGATTTGACTTTTGCAGGACTTCCCACATGATTCCCACGTTGCAAATGGGAAGTCATTAATGTATTATTTTAATTTTTTACCATTGCTTGTCATATAATTTTTGAACATTGAAAAATAAAATGCTGGGAAAGTTCCGACGTGCTTAACATGTGGCTACTTTCCCATGTTGGTTTCATGTTGCAACCGTTATGCTTTATTGAGTGTTCCGACGTGGTTTTCACGTGGGTACTTTCCCACGTGTCTACCACGTCGCAAATTGGACTATATATTGGCAAATCTCAGAAGCATCCCTTCACGCATTTCTTTTTTCCTTTCTTCCTTTTTCCTTCCTTCTTCCTTCTTCCTTCTACTTGTGTTATCTGTGCTTCCTCTCCTCCTTCACTCTACTATTTCACAAACATTTTCAATAGGTATGGTAAATGTTACATTCTTAGTTTTTATTTTTGTTTTACATTTTATTTTAATTTTTTCTTATTATTAATTTTTAACTTTTTTTCCCAAAAGATTAAGATTTGGAAGATTCAAGAAGATTTGGAGGATAAAACTTTAGTTTTGCTCCATTGAGGTATTTATGTAATTAAAATTATTTATTTTTCAGATTTATAGATATATGAAATGTTTGGTTGTTGTTGTATAAAATTAGAATTTATTGAATATATATGAAAAACATAATATATATTATATTTTAAATGTGAATAATATTGATTATATATGAATAACATTGTATATGAAATGTTTGATTGTTGTTGTTGTATTTAAATATGTTATTTTTATTAAAAACAGAATATATATTAGAATATTATATTTTAGAATATGTATAATATTTTAGTAAACAGAATATATATTATATTAGAAAAATTTTCTGGCCCTTGTGATTCTTCGTCTCCTAGGCAGCCGGGTTGTGCATGAGGATTCATAAATTTCAATGAATGTCATGCATTCTAAGAAGGATTCAGAGTCATTATAGAAGCATCGAGTGTAAAAAATGCTTCAATACTGTTAGCTAGCACTGCATAATATTTAATTTTTTTAATTGAGTATTTCCATCGACATGCTTGGGATTTCATTGGATTTCAATAAATTCAAGAGTTCTTATGCCTCCAATGAGAACATTGTAAAAATTCATTTCTTCACTTTCACCCCTTTAATAATGAAATGTCCCAACTTTCTATTTGTTTTTTTACTGCTAAAACTTAGCCATTTGCAGATTCCTGTTTGCTTGATAGTCTAATGATCTAAAGTGATATGTTACTATCTTTTTCTGCTGGTGAAGAGCCATCTTTACATTTTAGATGGTGGTATATTGTTCGGCTTTTGCAATGGCATCATGCTGAAGGGCTGATTCTTCATTCTCTTGTGATTGATTGGATTTTGAATCAACTTCAGGTATTTGCCTTTTATTCATCATTTGTATTTAACCGGTTTTATATGCTTATAAAATTAAAAGCGTCTTGCATATATCTTTTGCCAAGTTATGATTTCATATATTTCTGTTTCTTTCAGGAAAAAGATCTGCTTGAAGTTTGGCAGCTGCTATTGCCTATTATATACGGCTTCCTAGAAATTATTGTTCTGTCTCAAACCTACGTACGCACTCTTTCTGGATTAACTCTTCGCGTCATTCGTGATCCTGCTCCAGGTGGATCAGATCTAGTAGATAATTCTCGAAGGGCATATACAACATATGCACTGATCGAGATGCTCTAATATTTGATACTTGCAGTGCCAGATACCTTTGTTTCTTTGAATTGCTTTCCTTTACCATCCACTGTAGTCTCACATACAATGAATGATGGCAGTTTTGTATTAAACTCACCTACAATAGTTGTATTCTGAATCCTAAACTGAGTGCAAATTTTGTTTAAAAAAATATTTGCAACTTGGGACGGTTCAAACTGCCACAATATACTATAGATTTTTTTTAAAAAAATATTTGCAACTTGCGGCGGTTCAAACCACCACAATATGGAGATTACGACATTTAGCTACCCGTCGTAAAAATAACGACGATTTGTATGACAGTTTTATCAACCGTCGCAATACGGTCTCGCGACGCACGTTTTTGCGACATGATTGAAACCGTCGTAACTTTGCAACGGTTCTAACCGTCGTAATCTGCCAAAATAAACCGTCGCAATTTACCAATTTTCTTGCAGTGCATTTACATTGATGTCATACTAAACGTGTTGCAGAGATTTTGGGAAAGGTGATTTCCCACGTGAAATTCACGTCACTAATTAGTGACGTGATTTTCACGTGGGAACATTTTCAATTATTTTGTTAGTTTGTGTCGTGAATTCCATGTCACAAATTAGTGACGTGATTTTTATGTGAGAAAATGTTTCCACCGTTACTTTTCCGACGTGCTTTAGCCATGTCGCAAATTTTATTTAGTGGCGTGTTTTTTTGACTTAATAACATGAATACCATGTGAGAAATTACAATATTTTTGTTGTGGTTTTTTTCATGGTTTCACAAACAAGTTTTTGACTTTTGCAAAAGCAGAGTCATTTTTTACATGCTTTATCAAACACTAATTTTGTGTACCCGCAAATTAAAACACATAGATACATAATTGCGTGCATGTGGTACACAAAATAATTAGAAAATCAATTTTCTCAAGCGAGTATAGTACCTTAGGATCTATTAACATTTTAATCACTGACTTTAAGATTCTGAAAGGTAATTTTACAAAATTAAAATCTACCCATCATTTACCATACTCTAAGAACTCTCAAGGATGAATTTTGAGGTATTACATCGAGTACAATGTGATATGATTCGCGATAATGAACCATCAATTAACTTGGTAATAAAATTACAAAGAAATATATTTTTTTTATAAAAAGAAATTTCACAATCATTTTAACTACTACATTCACACCGCATAAAAATTCTAATAAATAATGCAACTGACTCAAAATGGTTAAAAAATACTAAAAAATTAAATTAAAAAGTCACAAGCATTGTCATTTATTTGAAATAAAAATCTTATCCCTCCAATTCTTAGGAAAAAGAACCTCTCCTAGTATGAAATTTGATTAGGAGGCAAAAACACATATCATGTGTGGTTAGAAAATTAACTATTTTAATTACTAATTAAAGAAAAAATATGATTAGTTTTAAATTTTAAAAAATTAATTTTGAATATTAGATAAGTCATACATAAGTGATTTCTCTTCATTTTCATGAATTAAATATGACTCTTGTCATACATTTCAATAACAAAGAATGCTACCAACTACATACTCGACACCAACAATATATTATAAAGAATACATATTTTTCACATTCTTCATATACTAAACATGATTTTTTTAGTCATACATGTCATGTGAAAATAAATATTATATAGCTTAGAAATATAAAGTGATTGAAAATATTAACCCCTATTATGCTTATGTATTTATTATTTATTTAATGACTTATTTTTAAAAAATAATCTCAGAAATTGTATAATGTATCATTATTTTATAAACAAATTATAATTCACAACTATTAACATTTATTTTCATATATTTCTTTGTATTTTCGTTTTTATTTACATATGATTGGATAGTAATGAAAGATATGTTTTTTAAAATGCATGTGTATAGAAAACTGTAATATTTTAACTATTAATATATATTATTATAAAATATTGGTGCCCTAAAAATATTTATACACATTTGTATTGTAAAACTTTTTTTGTGTAGAGTAGGCTTTGCTTGTGTTCTCGAGTTTTAGCCTAAAACATAGGTCTAATAATAAAAAAAATTATATTTATAAATATATACATTTAAGAATAAAATACATTAATAAATCTGATTTATTATCTGGTTTGGCATCGACGTCACATATTGTTAGAATATTTCATGTTTTATTTTTATTTTATTTATCATACTTAATTATTAAATTTAATGATTTTTTTAAAGATAATAATATGAATAAATAGGGTTTAAAAATAAAATGATACATTGAAAAGTAACTTTTCTTGATTTTTTGTTATATTTAAAAAAATGAATTTTTATTCTATTTTTAATACGAGAGGTCAAATCATTTTATTTTTTAAAATCTATATTATAAGAAAATTAGATAGTGTAAAAAAATCTACATTATTCTTATCTGATTTTTTTCTACAACATTAAAATAGAACCAAATTGTATTCAATTTTTTCAAATTCTAACTTGATAACTCACAGTGACGTACAATTTTGACATCAATTTGTTCTTTTATAATTTTTCTTTTTTCTTTCATTTTTCTGGTTAACATTTTTCAATGTTAACTACAACTCTACTACAACTAATATGATCTCTCTACTCTCTCTTTTTTCTTTTTTCTTTCATTTTTCTGGTTAACATTTTTTAATGTCAATTACAACTCTACTACAACTAGTATGATCTCTCTACTCTCTCTTTTCTCTTCTCATTTTTTTCTTCTCATCTACTTTCTTCTCTCGTTAGCATTAAAAAAAACTGGGTTACAATAAAAGAGTTAAAGATATGAAAATTTATGGCCTCAATAAAAGAGTTAAAGATATGAAAATTTATGAAAAATACCTAGAATGTACAAAGATTCAAAGGAATATTTATGGAAAATAGATTGAAGGTATGAAAAATTGTATGAAAGTTATCGAAAATGTGTCGAAGACTTTATTTTTTTAGTACAGCTTTCTATTTTTCTTTCGTCACAAAAAAACTTCATCTTATTGTACTTTGGCTCAAAATGTCTAAGTGTAACACTCATATTATTATTTTTAAATCTATATTATAAAAAAATTAGATAGTGTAAAAAAGTCTACATTATTCTTATCTGATTTTTTGCCGCCACATCAAAATAGAAGCAAATTGTATTCAATTTTTTCAAATTCTCACTTGATAACTCACATGTTACAATTTTGACATCAATTTGTTCTTTTATAATTTTTATTTTTTCTTTCATTTTCCTGGTTAACATTTTTCATTGTCAACTACAACTCTACTAAAACTAATATGATCTCTCTATTCTCTTTTTTCTCTTCTCATTTCTTTATTCTCATCCACTTATGTACAAAGATTCATAGGAATGTTTATGGAAAATAGACTGAAGGTATGAAAATTTGTATGAAAGTTACTGAAAATGAGTCGAAGATATAAACATTTTATTTTTGTGTTATTACAGCTTTTCATTTTTCTTTCTTCACATAAAAACTTCATCTTTTACGTTCGACATCTTTGCAGGTTTTATATAGGTTTCAATATTATTCAGGTAGATAACATATAACATATGCTTTGTTGTTTCATTTCTTGTAGTTTGGTTCAAAATGTCTAAGTGTAACATTCGTAATATTATTTTTAAATCTATATTATAAGAAAATTAAATAGTGTAAAAAAGTCTACATTATTCTTATCCGATTTTTTGCCGCCACATTAAAATAGAATCAAATTGTATTCAAATTTTTTAAATTCTCACTTGATAATTCACAGGTTACAATTTTGACATCAATTTGTTCTTTTATAATTTTTATTTTTTCTTTCATTTTCTTGGTTAACATTTTTCAATGTCAACTAAAACTCTACTAAAACTAATATGATCTCTCTATTCTCTCTTTTCTCTTCTCATTTTTTTCTTCTCATCTACTTTCTTCTCTCATTTGCATTAAAAAAACAGGATTATAATAAAAGAGTCAAAGGTATGAAAATTTATGGCCCCAATGAAAGGATGAAAGGTATGAAATTTATGGAAAATGTCTGGAATATACAAAGATTCATAGGAATGTTTAGGGAAAATAGACTGAAGCTATGAAAATTTGTATAAAAGTTACTGAAAATGTGTCAAAGATATAAAGATTTTATTTTTGTGTTATTACAGCTTTTTATTTTTCTTTTTTCACAAAAAATCTTCATCTTTTACGTTCAACGTCTTTGCAAGTTTTATATAAATTTCAATATTATTCAGGTAGATAACATATAACACATGCTTTGTTGTTTCATTTCTTGTAGTTTGGCTCAAAATGTCTAGTGTAACACTCATAATATTATTTTTAAATCTATATTATAAGAAAATTAGATAGTGTAAAAAAGTCTACATTATTCTTATCTGATTTTTTGCCGCCACATTAAAATAGAAGCAAATTGTATTCAATTTTTTCAAATTCTCACTTGATAACTCACAAGTTACAATTTTGACATCAATTTGTTCTTTTATAATTTTTATTTTTTCTTTCATTTTCTTGGTTAACATTTTTCAATGTCAACTGCAACTCTACTAAAACTAATATGATCTCTCTATTCTCTCTTTTCTCTTCTCATTTCTTTCTTCTCATCTATTTTCTTCTCTCATTTGCATTAAAAAAACTAGGTTACAATAAAAGAGTTAAAGTTATGAAAATTTATGGCCCCAATAAAAGGGTTAAAGGTATGAAATTTATGGAAAATGCTTGGAATGTACAAATATTCATAGGAATGTTTAGAGAAAATAGACTGGAGGTATGAAAATTTGTATGAAAGTTACTGAAAATGTGTCGAAGATATAAAGATTTTATTTTTGTGTTATTACAACTTTTTATTTTTCTTTCTTCACAAAAAATCTCCATCTTTTACGTTCAACATCTTTGCAGGTTTTATATAGGTTTCAATATTATTCAGGTAGATAACATATAACACATGCTTTGTTGTTTCATTTCTGGTAGTTTGGCTCAAAATGTCTAAGTGTAACACTCATAATATTATTTTTAAATTTATATTATA